TTTATAATTTTATTAATTTTTTTCGTGGAATCATTTATTTTATATTCGCGCTTTTCTTTTGATTTTCTTCCTGGACTTCATTTCATTTTATTTAGAGATTGATACCATAAATTATTTTCTAGTGTAAGTAATAATATTTTATTATGTAAATTTAATAATATGCTTTTTGCCTAAAAAAAAGCATTCATATTCAAATGTCTGAGGAGAATATGATGAATGCTTTAGTTGAGCTTGTTACAATAAATGGAAGACCTTTCAATATTATTGAGGATTCTGGTTTAAAAAAAATTATTGATCCTATTAGTAAGGCAATTGGAACATCAATTAAACGTTTTAAAATTAAGGACTTAGTGGTTGATGAATTGAAAAAAATACAAGCAAAAATTATAAAAGAAACAAAAAACAAATTAATTTCATTAAAAATAGATTCCGCCCAAAGATTAGGGAGAAATATTTTAGGAATAAATATACAATATATTAAAGGAAATAATATAATCTTAAGAAATTTAGCAATGAAGGAGATCAAAGAAAGTTCAACTTCTGAAAATATAAAAAGAATGATAATAGAAACTTTAAATAAATTCCATATTCCTTTAAGAAACGTTTATACCATTACTACGGATAATGGTGCTAATCTAGTCAAATCTATTAAATTATTAAATGAATGTTCATTGGACGAAATGGATGATATAGATATAAATAATGATGATAATAATTTTGAGGACATAAGTGAATTTGACATACCGGAGATAATAAAAGATTTTTCCACGAAGATATACTGTATCAGATGTGCAGCCCACACACTACAATTAGCTATTAATGATTCCCTCAAAAATAATATCTTTAAAACTATAATTGACAAAGCAAGGGATGTTGCTAAATATTTAAGAACTCCTACAATTGTACGAATATTAAAATCCATGAAAAGGCAAATGGCAATATTAGATTGCACAACCCGTTGGTCCTCTATCTGTATGATGCTAGAGCGATTAATAAGTTTAAAAGATTTCTGTGATGATTTTATTATAGGATCATGTGAAATCATTTTGTCAGAGGATGATTGGAATCAAATCAAAGACCTTACTAGGGTGTTGGTTCCTTTGAAAATTACTACATTACGATTGCAGTCAGAACAGTTGTGTTTATCCGATTTTTATGGCATATGGGTGAGATGTCGATTAGAATTAGAAAAATTTACAAGTTCCTTTTCATACGAAATATTAGAAAACATGAAAATACGAGAGCAACAATATTTGAAAAATAGTGTTGTGTATGCCTCAATATATTTAGATCCTCGATATCAAGTTATATCAAGTATTGAGCAAAAGCAAATGGCAATAGACCATCTCGACGATTTATGGCATAACCATAACTCTATTATTAACAATATATTGGAGGCTTCAACATCTAATGGTTGTAACGATAGTAATGATGATAGATAATATTAGAGCGGATGCTCGGAAATTTTATTATTGAGATAGATAGAGAAAAAAAATAAAATTATCATCAGGATCAGATAGAAAGGTGAAAAAAATATCAATTGTATCTTTAATTGAAAAATTCTCAGAAGTTAAGAGAATTAATAGGGATAAAAATATTTTAACATTCTGGGAGGAAAATTCTCTAATATATCCTGAATTGTATACCTTGTCTAGATTCGTCATGGCTGTACCGGCGACACAGGTACAATAATTTATATATTATAAAGATAACTATCTATTTTAGGTCAACGTAGAACGTGGATTTTCTTCTTTGAAATACATATTGTCTAATTTACGTGGAAATCTCAAGGATGATATTTTAGAAGATATTATGATCGTTCGATTGAATAAAATATTTAAAATTTAAAATATTTCATTTTGAATTATGAATGTGTATATATATTGAAGTATAATAAAAATGAATGAAAAAAGTCTTATTTTGAGTCATTATTTTTATGTTCCCTGGACCCGGACCCGAACCCTGGACCCGGGTCCTTTAAAAATTTATTACAGGACCCGAACCCGGACCCTTTTTTTTTGTTGAAGGGTTCACATCCCTGGTTATAAGGTAATAAAGAAGGTTAAATAGCCATAATAATCAGTGTAGCGCTGTAAAGTAACGTATATGAAATTAACGTCGTTACTTACTGCCTTACCTTTGAAAAAAAATGAATCATTCGTTACTTGTTTATGAAAGTAACAAATGAGCAACGCGTTTCTTTCTTTTTAATTAACGGTAACACAAAACTTCACTCGTTACTTAAAAATATGGTATTCCATTTTAATATATTTTTTAAATTTTATAAATAATCAACCACTAACGTTTTTCATATTTATTTTATTTATTACATTGTTGTTGAATTTTTTTATAATCAATCATTTTATATAAAATGAATTAATAAGCTGTTAAATTTTTTTATCAGATAAAGTAATCCTCTAGCCTCGTTGGTGAAATTTTGATTTTAATGCCTAAAGATTTTTAATATTTAAAAGAGGTAGCAAAAAATGGCCTTTCGTAGAGGTGACTATTGGCGTAAATATAAAATTATTGAAATTTGTGTATTTTTTAATGCTTGGTTAATAAATTTATCTTGTGTTAGAATAAAGTCGCAAGTAAAATCCCATATTAATAATTTACTGAGGTCCAAGGAATTTCAGTCATTCCGTCAGGTCTTAATCCATCTGCGGGAGACAGGTTGGTGGGCTCAAGATGATTAGTTATGTGAGCGACTGTTTAACATTCATTGTTGACATGATTTATTGTGGCATTGATGTCTTCCTTGACACTATAAACAATTCAGCCCGTGGCTGTCTTTAGAATTTAATGGAGTAAATTTGACACAAATGCAAGGCTAGAAAATAGGCGTAACCCGATGGTGACTGTTAATAGCTTATCCTATAAGAGATTGCCAAGGTTTCGACTAGGGAGCGCTTCTAACCGTTTGTGACCAGCAAGTCTGTCTTCTAATCGGAGAAGTGGATACAGTTAAAAGATGGTCTGATATGGTTGATTGGAAGATGAGTATTAAAGGCGTGTAAAGATTATTGTAATGGATAGGATAGCAGTGTTTGGGGGTGTTGGCTCCCATCTATTTGTTACGTCATCCAGCAAATAGTCAGTGGGGGAATATGACGCCTGACATAGATTTGTTTATTAATCTGATGATAAAAGGGTGATAAAGCTAGAAGATTAAGTGGAACGATAAATCATTCGATTACCAAGTAATTGGACGAAGGGACTATTTCAATATTTAAATTTTTAAGGAATATTTTGAATTTGTTCTGAATTTTAGCTATAAAATTGTTGTTTGTGAGAAGGATGAAGAACGGAATATACATATAAATTTTGGAATGTAAAGACATCTGCGATTAAGAATAGACATTGATTAGCTGGTAAAAGGGATACGTTTATACAGTCAAGATTGTTAATTTGAATCAATCAAGGTATGTTAATTTATATTTCCTAATAATATAATTTAATTTATAAAGAATATATGCCAATGACTTATTTCTTCAGATGAAGATGATTTAACTCTGCTCTGACCCCAAGATGAAATATTTTCTTGCAGAAAATTAAGGGTACTAAGTCTACACTTTGCAAGTTTAGATTGTGACCTAATTCAAATATTTTACCCTCAAGGTTCAGCAGCTCTAATCCAAAAAAAATAAGATGATAAATAAATTTAATGAGGATCGGAATGAAGATTTGAAGATTACCTAATGAGCTTTTTTGAAAATAAAGGTCATTCTATAAAAAATTTTTTTTATAAATTCCCCCAATTAAAATTTTTATTTATTAAATATGATGCAACCCTCTCATCCTTTGCGCCATTAATCGTGTTTATCACAGTGAAAGTTGTGATGAGCACTAAACGCTCTTGTTTATCTGATCAAAGATCAATTGTTAAAAATAAATTATTACAAAAAACTTATCATAATATATTATTTTTGTATAATTTTAATTTTATTAACTCTGGGGGAAAAAATAAATAAAAAGAAAAGTTATATATAATATTTAGTATTTTTTAAGTAAAGCGTTACTTTTTTTAAAATAGCCGGTAATGCGTTTCTTTTTTTAAGTAACGCTTACAGCATTATAATAATGTAAAATCTTATTGACTTATAATTCAATGAGATACAATTGTAAGAACTTATTTAAATGCATATACATTTTAGATGGTGTATTGTATTTAGATCCATTTGAGATGATATACCTATATCCATTTGAATTATCTTTTAACAAAACTGGAGGTTAGCAATGATAAATAAAACGATAGAGGTTGATCTAGTTCAGAGTTCATAATAATCTTGTTATTTATCAACAAGAAAATGGAATGCTGATGATATATTTTGGGTATTTTCCAATTTTAAATTTCCCATCTATAAGACTGATCATATCTTGTTTAGGTAAAAATATGCAAATAGCTAGGACTCGAAAATTTTTTAAATAAAATATATATTCCAAGGAGTTTTCTTTCATATTACCAGAGGCTGCCAAGCTAAATCATGTGTCATCAAATTTTAATAACTTGAATATATGTTTTATATTTGTTTATGATATCCCTAAAAAAAATCTGTAAACCCTCTAGAAGTTTCTTAACCATAAGAATTATCGCCACATTATTAATAGTTAATTTTTATTTTTGTTGTAAAATGTGGTCAGGTGACGTCTACCTTGATATTTTGAATTTCAAAAACTAGAGGTATACATTAAGGTTACCCTCAATTCTCATACAATATTGAAGGCTGTGCGATATTTTAGAAATTCAAAGATAAATGAAGAATGAGGTGTTTGGTCACATAATATATGATGTCTAACCATTAAATAAAACTTTGAAATCAATATATACCTCAATAGGATTATTCGTTCGTTACCAACACTATAATAGAGGCGAGCAATAAAAAATCTAATTTTATTATAAAAAAATAATCATTTGGTCTATAAATAATATATATATCAAAAATATACATAACATAAATGCACAATGTCATAATAATAATTGTAAAGATTCTATAAACGGAATGTACAATTCGAACGTGCGATAAGCTACAAAATTATATATAATGTTGAATTTCTTTATTGCAGGTAATTGAGATTTTTTAAATGAACGATATTTTGTCTTCTTCTATCAGTAGGGTTAAATATATTATTTTTAAGATTATTAAGGATGCTGGTACTATCAAAGGTATTTATACTTTTATAATTAATAAGGCCATTATTAATAATATTTTGATCATAATTATAGCCATTTAACATGCTTCTTGTATTACTGCTAGCTGTCGTCTTAGGCTGTACTAAATTATTTTGGATAGGTTGAGGTTCTTTAGACATATAAATATATCCATTATTAAATACGTTACCAGTCTTATAATCATTATTTGCAATATTATTATCGCAATTGATAGGGTTTATTTTAGAAAAGTTTACTTTGTTATGTGTTTCTATTGCCAGATATTTAGCTTTATTAGACTTCTTACGCTTATTGCTATTTCGATTAGCTCTCCTTCTTCTGGCCAAGCTCAATTGGCGTTGCATGAGTTTATCTGATATCCTGATATTCTCATTGCCTTTATATTGTTCTGAAATATAAGAAATCTGTGATAAGCTGTTTTTACTAAAAACGTTATCGCTTTTTACATTATTATCATTATTGTCGTTATCATAGTTCGTTCCATGTCTGGTTGTCTCAGAATCATCTCGATTAAGTATAATATCATTGCCTATTAAATTGTGGCCCATTGTATTTGTATCATTTTTAACATATTGAGCCCTTTGAAAATTATTTTTGTGCCCAATATTAGAATTATTAAAATCATTAAGGTCACTGAAAGTTCCCGCATCACTATTACCATTGTTGAGGCTATTGAGAGGGTAGCCAGTGGTATCGGTGGATATCGAACCAGGAGATATTCCATTCATGTCGTTCTTGTACCTTTCTCCTCTGTAACATAACGATGAATCACAAAATCGTCTTTGCATCCTTTCGTTCATCATGAATTCACTTTTCATAGCTACATTAATGTCATCCCTCTTTTTATTTTTTATATAATTTTTACAACTGTGATCAAACAAGTCAGAAAAGCTGTTCTCGTCAAGGTTAGTTGTCATTATCGGCCGTCTTTTATTCTGATTTATATTGCGATCTATATTTTCCGTTTCATTAATGAGCACAACATCAAAATCGATATTTTTCATGGGACCAAAGTCAGCCAAATTATTATAAAGATCAGCGAAGGGAGATTTTCTCTTATTCAAGCTTGGCGTTGGCGTGTTTTGATGATTATTATTAATGATATGCTTGCCAGCTGTTTTTCCATTTCTATCTCTTTTGACTATTGTACTAAGCGTGCTGTTAGCGATTGTGGCAATTTCAGATGGTTGGTTAGTGGTTAGTTTTTTTCGAGAGTTGTAATAATAATTCCAAGATTGGGCGTGCCCTTTGGTTTTATATGATATTGAGATTTTTATCTATAATATTCTGATAGTAAAATTAATTACTAGAGTTCTATGCGTTAAATCGCGAAAGGATCCTTGAGGTAGCTATATGCTCCAAAATCTAATCCCCTTAATCTTAATGACGCAGTATTATTTATAAATCCCCCCCCCCCAGAGAAATTTTCCCCCTACAAAAAAATTATTTAATAAATTTGCGATAATTTTTTTTATATTATTTCTCTCGAATTGTTTTAATGTCTTCAGCGAATGTGTTCAAGTCTAATAATTTGCGCCAAATTAATATTTTTTGGTTGGTATTATTAGGCATATCGCCTAAGGCCATTTCCAAACATAACGTTTTTTCAAAGCCGTTTTTGAGGCATGTAAAATAATTCGTCGAATTAATTTTTCAATTAATCCTTAATAAAAATCAAAAGAAATAAATAATAATACCAGGAATATGCCTCTTACGCTTTAAAATGACGTTATGTTTGGAAATGGCCTAAGAGAAATATAGATAAAAAATATGAAAACTGTTTTGTTTGTAAAAATTATTCGAAATCTATTTAATATTATATACTAAAAAACTCTTTTTTAAATGACTTGATGCAGTGACATCTGATAACTCCCCTTCCCCCAATATAGAGGTCACTGATAATATTTTAATCTTCAAATTTCTATAAAATATATATTAATTTTTTTATAATAAATAAAAATTTTGAAATCGAATGCAAAATTTAAAATTATAAAAAATATTATAAGAATTAACTAAATATAAACCTAATTTGGTCAGCGGAAAAAAGCCATAATAGAATGCAATAATTAATCCAATAACCTGTGGATAAAATGTATTTAAAAACAATGATTAAGCAATACCCCTAACAAAAGCTGTATGCAAATATGTATAAGATCAACAAGATGCCCATTAAAAGTGCATTCAGATAGTTTGGATTTAATATTTGATTTTATAAGTGAACTAAGAGTGCATAAAATATGTTTAGAAGACCACCAACTCCTACCACCATATATTTGATTGCCCAAATTGAAATTCAACAGATGATATGCCTATAATAAATAAATAATTATTGATGAGTTATGAAAGAAATATAATATTAACTTGTTTTAAAATTCCAAGTTCAGTATAAATGCAACATAACAAGAGATTCCATCCAATCCAAATAAACATCCAAAATTTATACTATAATTAGAAATTATAATTTATATTTAAAAAATATATAGATAATATATATTGGTTTTTTTTAAATTTTTATGTTATATAAATAAATATATGTATGATTTTCTGGATCTAATTGATTTAAATATTTTAATATATAAATGTTTTTTCTCTGGCAATGTTTTATTTTTTAAACTTAAGATTATTTTTTATGGGTGGTTTTTAAATTTGAAAAATATGATTTTGTCAGAAATATAATATCTCTTATAATCGTATTAATATAATCGATAGAAAAATAATATATTTATTGTGGTCACATATTTCTAGGTAAAATTGCTTATTCAAAGGGTAGGTATTCTACACATTTTAGTTAGTGTATTATGGTACAATATAATTTATATTATTTAAAACAATGTAGAGAAGACACATACACATATTATACATCAGGGTTGGGTATTTGACCGGTTAAATTACAATATTAATTTTATTTAATATTATATAATAGTTAATAAAAAATATGTTTATAAATGAAAGCATATAATTAATTCTGATATTTTGATAGATTTATTCTAAAATAACGCTGCGTTGGCTTTGGCAAAGTTAATTCAACGGAGTTATTATAATTTTCTTTATATTTTTAAAAAATAAATCATAAGTTATAACTAATTTTTTCGTAGTCAAGGATTTAAATCGAGTTCAATTCTTTGTATGAATATCGTTTCAATCGGAGTGATTTCCTTTTGAGGAAGAAGTTAAACTTAAAAGGGTTCAAAATGACATTCGTCACTTCCCTTAAATGACAAGGTGGACAAAATCCTTTCCACCAGCTTAATACCAACGTTTGATTAATGTTCAGAAATTCTAGGATTCCACATATTTTGTCACTTTTACATCAAAAATTTATTACATCCGGATAATAAGTTAGTAGCATTGCAAGTAGTTGTATCAAATTATTTTAAATTTCTTATATACCGGTTTTAATTTATTCTTCTACTGGTGCGATTGAATAATATGCAATTATAAAAAAAAAATCCGAATTTTTTCCTATACAAAGTTTTATATCGTCTATGATAGAAAGTTTCTTTCTTTCTTTCAATTCTTCAAAGAAGGATGCTTTTAGAACTTTTTTGAAATTGTAATTTCTGCAAAATTTATGGAGGAGGCCCATCTTGAGCTAATCGTAATTAATATAAATTATATCATGGATGATTTCTTTGTGATAATACTGCATTGGCATGGGTTGATTTTTTTTAAATCGATATTATGTGAAATAAATAAGGCGTCCAATTTCCAAATATCTCCAAAAGCTTTGTCTAAGATTGCAAATATTTTCGAGTGGATTAATTATTAATAGGGCGTATTTCTTTACAAACTGGTTATTATTTTAAGATTTTACTTATGTGAAACGATAAGTTGCTAGCGGGGGCAGCATTTGCATATATTAAATATTTCAATTTTGTGTTGGTTGACATTATCTCTTTTACAAATTCCTTTGATTTTCGATTGGTTAATATGCTAAAAAGCCGAGTAAACGATTGATTTTTTAGTCAAATTTGAACCCTATAAATATCATTATTTTTTGGGGGGTGGGGAGAGGATTAGGATTGATTAAAGGTGTTTTACTAAGGCCGGGTACATATTATACAGGTGTTTAATAATGTTAATTCGTTCTATTAGTGTGCATGACAAATAATATATCAAACATAAAAATTATATTTTAGTTATAGTATTTGACTTGAATTAATTAACAGACTTTCCAACCCTGTATCAAAGATGCACCGATATCTCTTTTAGTCGCCAATAAAATATTAGCAAATAGACGGGCATCATTTTTTTTAATTCATACATATTACATTTTTATTTAATTAATTAATATATAAATATTGTGACAAAAAATGACTAGCATACTGGTATCGTTTAGTAAAATAATGTTTTGTCTTTAATATTAAATATTAAAAATTAAAAATTTTGAGGGGTGATCTTAAAATTAATTTTTATTAGTGATAAATATACCTGAAACGGATTATTGGTTATTTGATTCGCCTCGTATTTTAAAAATACGAATAACGAAATTATTAGAATCAAAAATTCGAATCAGAATAAGGAAAATATATTATTTTTCAAATACTTTTTTATCCATTATTCAATCGAATTATTCATATAATTTGAAATTTTTAGATTATTAAAAATATGTCAAATATACTACATTATTTGTAAATATTCCTAATATAATAAATATCAAAGTTTATTCACAAATATTAAAAATTATTAATAAGTATTTAACATGTTCTTTATGGAACATAACATATTATTTTTTATTTTATTTACATGCCTATAAATCACTTTTTAAATTAATCTAATTTCTCAAGAGTTTGAAAAAACCTTTTGAGCAAAAATCTATTTTTTAAAGAAGAAAGAATTTTAATCAAATTTTACTTAAAATTCTTAGGTTTAAAAACATATTTTACATACATGAGAATTTCAAGATGAAATCACAAATCAAAAAAATTTTGAAGATTTTTTCATTTTTAAAAAATTTTTAAAGTATTTAATTTCCAAATTAAATCAAATATATTCAACAAATCACATTGAACAATGTTTTTATTATTCATACAAATAGAAATAAAGAATTATTTGATTTCTACAAATACGAATAGTACAAATGATAATACAGAAATAAGCATAATTTTCCATCAACTCCTAGTTATCCAAATTTAGAAACAGGCTTGTACTAGATAAGACAAAAATCAGCTTCTTTTTTAAAAATATTTTAATAATAATCATATATTTGTAATTGATGAAATTTATCTTAAGAAGGAATGCTAGTTACATTGAATAAGTTCAAATAATTTGCAAAAGGATTATATTATATTTAACTCATCAAACTGGTAAAATATTGAAAGTAAAATGTCAAGTGATTTGTAAATTTTTTATTATATTTAATTAAAATAAAATGATTTAAATATGACTTTTGAAAAATAAAATCTTGATTTAAATCAATTTAGATTTTTATTTACATGCACTGACATCATCTACTCGTTAAAATTGAAGGTATCAATCATTGAAGATGCATTTTTGAATATATTTCATAAAAATTATTAATTTTTACTTTAACTGATATAAATGATAACATGTAACCTATTAATATAAGAAATGTATATATTCATAATTTATAAAATTTCAAGAGAATAGTATCATATATTTTTTAAATTACCAGTGACATATATTTTTCATAATCTTGATAAACGCCAAAGTAGCCCAATATCAAAAATATAATGTGAAAAAAATTCATAATAATAAGCAGCCACATATACCCCAAAAAATCAAATACATGTTTTTCTGTTATACTTATCTATGATATAAATTAATAATCTCAAATAAGAGCTAAATTACAATTTGAATGGTAATAATTATGATAAAGCATCGTTTGAACGTGTGTATCATCGTTCATTGTACACAGCAGCTGGTTTATTTTAGATTAATACATTCACTAGTAAAAATAAATTATAAATCATACATAAACTCTAATTTTTAAATGAGCCATAATCAATTTCACATAAACAGAAAAAAAGATATACAAACTAATATTCATATATCATTTATTTTGATAGGCAACGATCAATATTAAATTACTTTATAAAATTTGGGCAAAATAAAATACCAATTTTATATTCCAGCGCCTTTTAAAATCTTGAGAATTATATATACTCTCTCCCCCGGCAAAAATTTCAATATTTTTCAAAAGTTATATATTTGAATCCCTTTTTTCATAAATATTTTTCATATTTCATATTTTTCTTGGCCAATCAGCACCTTTATAGTATAGAAAATAGACAAACAAAAAGTGTAATTATCAATTATATTTTCATATTTTATTATCAACTATTATTTATTTTGATTTCTCTTATTTAAGCCCTTTTTATGAATATTAATCAATTTATATTTTCATATTTTATTATCAACTAATATTTATTTTGATTTCTCTTATTTAAGCCCTTTTTATGAATATTATAAACACAGGATAATAAATGAAGAAGCTTTTTTTGAAAATAATAGCTATAGTAAACGTGATAAAGACAAATAAAAAGATACTGACTGAAAAAAAGATGCAAAATTAATCGACAGATGACCGGTTTTTTAAATTTTTTATTTAATTTAATGGCACTAACTCCCAGTGGTAGCAGGGACAAAGATATTCTCCAACTATAACATCAATTTTTTAAAATGAATTTAAAATCCTATAGAAATTTCTAAAATTCGCTACCTCGATTTATATATAATATAGATTAATGTTTACCATAGGAAGTTGTGATCAAATATAAATCCACTTTGAGCTGATTCTACCAAGTATAAATTTGTAGGCGAAAACTATCAGCTCAGCCCTGATCCAGCTATAAACTTAAAGGATATCTGTGTTGAAAAAAAATTAAATTGTGTTTCAAGGCCAGCGTATGGTAGGATATTCATTGGAAGCAAACCACTTCAAAAATCTACTTTAGAAAATTTCCTTCGCATTCGGCGGCGATATTTTTACTTTATGAATTAAACGTTTTTTATATATTATAAAATTATGAATACTCTATTACCAACTCCTCGTTTAAAATGAATGCAATGCATTATTATAGTACATTTTTGGAGTTAGCTGATCTGATAGAATGTCTAACCCTTTTAAATTGCATTAAAAAAGATAGCAGAAAATTATCCAAAAATAAGTTTTATTTCCTAATTTTATTTAAAAATTTAATAGATAACCCCCAATAAATTTATACTCTAGCTTACCACCCCTCTTAAAATATTGAAGGCAAAGACCTACCCCCCCCCCTTCTTCCCATATAGAAGAGCTCAATTTTTTTGACTGTCAGAATCAAGCATATTTACCAATACTATAGACAAAAAATGGTATCGTCCCTCTAGTTCGTATTTTTTTTTTAAATAGATATTTTGTTGTATATTGCTAAAACCAAAAAAATTTCCAATTGATTCCCAAAATTTCCAATTGATTCAAAATTTCCAATAGATTCCCAAAGTTAGTTAATTTAATAGATTCACAAATATATTGTTGGTTAATTTAATAGATCACCAAATATATTGTTAGTTTATTTAATCTTGATTCCCAAAATTACCAATTGATTCCCAAAATTTAGTATTGATTCCCAGAATTTCCAATGGATTCCCAAAGTTAGTTAATTTAATAGGTTCACAAATATATTGTTAGTTAATTTAATAGATTACCAAATTTATTGTTAGTTAATTTAATAGATTCCCAAAGATATTGTTAGTTAATTGAAGTAACTATTAAGATTCAAGAGGTTAGAGAGAAATCACAACAAATATCATATCTTATAAATTTAGAAATTAAAGTATATATTATTTAATTTACATATAATAATTTATATTTTTAAGAAAACTAAACAAAATAAAGATTGTATATTTTTTGGAGGATTGGATTATGTGTTCCATAAATCTGGAAAAAAAGGCAATGTATTACACCTGTAAGAAAATGTGGAGGAAAAGCTAAACTTACTGTTACTGAATTTAGCATCAAACATTTAGAAACTTGCAAACCAATCCAAAGTAAATAATTTTGATTAATACTTAATCTTAAATTATATCCTTAATTACTGAATTAATGCTTGTGTATTTATATTATAGTATCAAATGTATTTACTGCAGAATGCCAAAGTAAAATATCAATTTAATATTTACAATAATTTTTCAAAGCTATTAATATACAAGGTCCAGTTTTGGATAAAACAAATAGTCCAGCTTTGGTTTTTACTTAAATAACACAAATAGTCCAAGTAAATTTTAATTATATTGGTATAACTAATTTTTAACAAAGTTATGAACCAAGAGGTCTTGGAGGAAATAGATGCCCATAACAGAAATACCATTAGTCCAAGTAAATAGTATCTTTTAGATATTTATATCATTTTTAAACAAAGCTATTATTCAAAACAATTCTAACAATCAAATGGTTCAATATAGTTTAATTAAATCAAAATAACACAAAAATATTATCTATTCTAACAAATATTTAATTCAATTTATACATTATCAAGCAAAAAAAAAAGATTGCATTTTTATATATTAATTTAAATGTTTATTATGAGATAATAAATTTTAATATTAAATACAATTGTGCTGTCTTTTATATGTTAATAGATCTAGAGTATTAAGAGTTTGCCAAAATAAATGTAAATTATCTGCTATTATTTAGTATATACTGTTCTTGTATTAATATAAATATTGATTACCATTTAGCTATTTAAATTTAATTTAAAATAAAATAAAAAGCAAAATTTAATTTATTTGTTAAATCTGTTACAACGTTTCAAAATTATACAAATTTATAATCGCTTCAAATATATTTGTGGCCATTTTAGTAGTGTTGCTAAATTGCTGGGTCGGGTCGGCCTGGCCGAAAACCCAGCAAGGTTTGAGCTGAAAAAAACGACATTAAACCCTAGCGAACCCATTTAGCCATAGATCCGACCTGACCCAATGGGCCTCATGAGCCGACCCGATGAGTCGGCTTGATGGGTCGACTTGTTGGATTGGCTTGCTGGGTCGGCTTGCGTTAAAATTTGTCATAATCGTCATTTTTTAAGTTTTTTCGAATTTTTTTGAAGCAAATAGGTAAAAAATATACCTTGTAAACATGTTAAATTAAATTTTCAGTGAATATGTACCTTAGAAAATTGACAATTGTCATAATCGTCATTTTTAAGTTTTTTCGAATTTTCTTGAAGCAAATAGATAAAAATATATGTTGTGAACATGTTAAATTAAATTTTCAGGGAATATGTACCTTAGAAAAGTGACAATTGTCATAATCGTCATCTTTAAGTTTTTTCGAATTTTTTTGAAGCAAATAGGTAAAAATAAATATTGTAAACAAGTTAAATTAAATTTTCAGTGAATATGTACCTTAGAAAAGTGACAATTGTCATAATCGTCATTTTTAAGTTTTTTCGAATTTTTTTGAAGCAAATAGGTAAATATATATATTGTAAACATGTTAAATTAAATTTTCAGTGAATATGTACCTTAGAAAATTGACAATTCTCATAAACGTCATTTTTAAGTTTTTCGAATTTTTTTGAAGCAAATAGGTAAAAATATATATTGTAAACATGTTAAATTAAATTTTCAGTGAATATGTACCTTATAAAAGTGACAATTGTCATAATCGTCATTTTTAAATTTTGTCGAATTTTTTTGAAGCAAATATGTAAAAATATATATTGTAAACATGTTAAATTAAATTTTCAGTGAATATCTACCTTAAAAAGTGACAATTGTCATAATCGTCATCTTTAAATTTTTTTAAAACTTTTTTTTAATCTTAGTGGTTTTTAATATTATAAAGTTCTAAAATTTTTTTTTATGAATAAATTTCTATTGCCATTTTTTTTAACACCACGCTTGAAATGTAAAAATTAAAAAACATTTTATTTATGTTTAGTCTTGTAAAAAGTTTTGGATATTTAAAGATTTTCTAAAACCATTGGATCTAGTAATAAGGTGTCACTGCAATTATATTTTATTCCAGTGAGGAAAATTTTATTTAAAATTGTTTTAAGCCTATTTAAAAAATTTTATATTGGAAAGATGTTATAAAATATTTGGATTCAGTAAGAAATTTTTTCTTTCATTACTTTTTGACTCCACCCTTAAAAATCTAGAAATATAAAAAAAATTATACTTATTTTCAGACTAGTAAAAAGTTTTTATAATTAGAAAAATATTTCTAAACCTCTAATATTGATACTGCTATTATATTTTATTCCTTTTTTCTAACTTGAACTTAGTTTATATTATTTGGTATTAGATACGAATGGTATATCATTTGAAACTTTTTAAAGAATTGGTAGATAATAGGAAAATACCGGGAAAATTTAGCAAGGAACTCATTTTTAAATTTAAGACATTCAGATACATATATTTGTCCTAATCTTATAAAAATATTAAGTAATATATAACTACTATAAATTTTTTATATCAAATTTGATTTGAAACACAAGATTTTAATTATTATTTGATTTAAGATCATGGATATAATTCTTGACAAATTTTAAATTATTTTTCATAATTTCTGAGTTTTACTAATATTTTGTTTACATATCACGATTGTTAAAGCGAGTGTTAGCGGGCCTTGCTAAACCCCCTTAATACTTTCTACCACTAATGCATCATTATAAATTATAATTTTTAATTAATTTTTTTTCTTTGGTAATTGTGTGGATGACTTATGCAAAATCCAAATATTCATACTTAAGAATGAATATCATAGAAAAAATTAGGAAAACATAGATATTCAGAGATACTACTAATTAGGAATTAAAAATTTTTTTTATCTATAAACCCCCACCCCCTTTCTTTTTAGAAATAATAACTATTTTAATTTAAAAATGATATATTTAAAATTATTCATTTATCGCAAGTAGGCTCTTATATTTTATAAGTAAAAAT